GGTTTCCGAGTTCCTAGATTCTGTAAATCCTTGGTATTACATCTTTTGACTCAGAAACAAAAATACTAACATATCTTATCATTCAAAAACATGTGTCCTGGGTTCAGGAAGGACTATGTTTTCTCTCTCCCAAAAGTCAGCTCTGTGCTCCATGTACAGAATTAAGTTGCAAAGCATGGCTAAACTCATCTGAAATATTTTGCTTATGTTAAACCTCATATTATACTAATTAAAGCAGCTGTGAGAAACTATAATTAGACTAAGCGTCCAACAAATATTAATCGGTAAAGTAATATTCTATTATTAAGAAGCAGCTATTCACAGTAGGAGTTTCTCTTGCAAAAAAGATTAGGAACCAAGCCAAAAGCAAACCAGAAGGCACTGCAAATTGGGTTATTTGGTGCCTCATTTTAATTTATGAATACTTTCACCTGTATTTTACTTATTTTGTATTGTCTTTTTAGCAGAGAAGGTATAAACAGGCTCCAGACTGCAATCCTACATCTGATGGGTTAGTCCCAGTGTTCCCATTCACTGTGATAAGGATTTCCCTTCCTCAGCCGTAATCCAATAGAGAAACTCAGACCACACACCACAGACAAACCACTTAACCTCCCTATGTTCCCCCATCTGTAAATGAAAACAATGCAATTAACATACATAGCAGGGAGGCTCTGTGATTTACTTAAGTGTTTTGAAGAGCTTTGATATCTTGAGTAAGTGGTACTGTATAAATGCTGACAAATATTGCCTGTTTGAGGCCTCATCAGTAACCATTTTCAGGGTGCAAGAAATAGGTTCATGGCAAAAGCAGTGTCTAAAATGCTAGGCCTATTTTAACTTCTTCATTTTCTTGTTACACCCTCTCCCTGCATATCAGTTAACAACTAATGGTAGCAGTCTCATAACAAGTCTCCTTTGATGACACCAATTTTAGAGTTTTACTCCTATAAGTCTACTTTTCTGCAGTGTGAAAACACTGGGACTCAGACAAAGAATTGCCAGGGGCTTAATGTAAGATACTGCTGAGTTTTAGTAAACAAAATCTTTCCACGTTACCCTGTTCGACACAGATATCCAGCAAAATAGTGCAAGACAACAAATACATTTGGTGGAGCAATCTCTAATGCAATAACATAAAAAAATCAGGTATGAGTCAAATATCTGTTCTTTCCACTTCCAAGTTACTTTACATAGATTCTGATCAAGTAGTAGACTGTGCTAGTAGTTTTCCACTGCTGCCCAGAAGCATTTTTTTTTTAAAACAGGATGTTACATCACCAATTACCTGAGCTGTTTCTTAATTTTAAAATCTATTTCTTATAATACACCAAGAACTCCCTTATATATTGCTCTTACATATATTAATCACCTGTAGAGAGAGATGTTGTCTTTAGAGGAAGTAATATCTACAAAGGACAAGATTTAAAACTTTGAAAATCCAAATTGTAGTTGTTTTTTTCTTTTTTTCCATTTTTGGCTAAACATGTATATTTACATAGAGATATTCAAGGTAAATATCCAGGCATTATGATCATTTCAGCGCTATTGAAAGTTATAACCAAGCACCAAATTTCTGTACTTTTCAGGAATGATAAAAGGATTTTTTTTTTTTTTTAAATTACTGAAAAAGCAACAAGCAAGCCAAGCACACCATCCACAGATTCTGTAAGAACTGCCTTTTATACATGATGAAATGTAGCTCATCAATTAGAAAAGTCATTCCAGTGAGTTCAGGAGTACTACAGTGTTATGTTTTCCCTATTGCGCTCATTAGTACCTGGACAACAGCAAAGGTTTGTTTAGCGACTAACAAAATCAACATTAACATACAAAACTGAGGAATAACACTCTTGCAAGAGGTTTATGCTCAACATGATACTAGGTTTCAAATCCACACAGGAAATAATTTTTAAAATCTAATTTAAAGTAGTGATCTACATAGTAAGAGAAAAGAAATTTTGAAAGACACAACCACAATGCAAATGAGACCATTACATTCACTTCTGCTGACAATAAAATTACAATCCCCTATTGTATCCACTGGCCACAGAAATGAAAGCCAAGTTGCAACAGGAGAGCAGATGGAGAATGAGAAAGTGTTTGATCAGATGTCAGGGAAATCACTCATTTTATTATTTAAATAAGATGACTGAAATCCAGAAAGATAGGGATGGGAGATTTGGCAATACGTATCTTCTAGTAGAAAAGTTCCCCAAAATCAAGAGGTTGCTGCTATAACTTATTCCCATGTAGTGAGATAAGGCATTTGCAGGGTTTGGTTTTTAATCAACTGCTAAAGAACTAGAGGAAGAACTCAGTGAAAAATCAATTAGCCCAAGGGGAAGCACACCACAATGGAAAAAAACTTGAAGGAGAAACTAGAGTTGGAATGGGTGGGGTGGGGGAGGACAGAAATCTCATGCTTGATCTGAAAGCTCACAGAAGTTGTTACAGCAGTGTTGTGTGTGTCATGGTTCTATATTCAGCACTCCCAAATAGCTCACCAACAACGTCTTAGACTGCATGCTTTTTGTATCCAGTATAAACACATCAGTGTTTCCTGGCACATATTTGTTTCACTAACATAGTTTGTACTGTTTCCATGCTCACCAAAAACTGTTGAAAGTGAATAAGGAAGAAGGAATAAGTGCTCTTTTTTCATAGCTTGCTCTAGTCAGCTTAGAGGATGGAGCATTCTCCTGCCAACCGTCAAGGGCAAATTCCTAACCCCTCATGAAAGTCTTATCTGTGACAGAGCCAGAATCCCATCCCACTTATTTTTATTTAAATCCCATGCCTTTTCACACAGCAATTTCCTTCTTGTCATTAGCTAGATTCCATGTCCTAGATTTGGTTTCTCTCTTTTCTGGCTTTCATTTCCACCCCCTTATCCTACATCCCAGAGGCTGCCAGGATTATTGGACAGTTGAAAAGGGCACATGTGCATGAATTCCCTTCACAGCTATGACAAAGACAGGAGCATCCATTTCACTCTAAGTAGCATTCAGCTGCCATCTATAAAAATGCAGGTGGTCTGTGTGCTTAGAGTAAGTAGCTTCAGAGAGGATTACATACAGATACACACAGAACCATATTTAACTCAAGTTTCCACTGAAAATCACACTACAGCTCAGAGCATACAGGACTATATACTTCATAACCTTTACCTCCACAGCAATATTAACTCATTCTAAAGCTTACTACACTAAGATTTGAAGAGCTAGAAGTAAGTTAACTCATTAGCAGACAACCATTTCTAACTCAGTTAAAGCATAAACGAAGCAAGAAATCACTATGCTGAAAGGTGTGTCTTCAGTTAGGACATTACAAGAACTTCTACTGAATAATTGCTGTCCATCCTGTGACAAGCCTGGGGAACAAGCCATAACGTCAATATCTTTAGGGTAGGTCACTATTAGAGTATTGCAATGGGAGAGCAGAAGACCATCTGAGACTAGCAAAGATTAAATTAGGACCACCAATTATATTAAACTGGTTTTGCCCAAGCACGCAAAGCAAGGAGATGAGTAAGACTTCACAAAGCAGAAATTAAGTAAAACTATCCAATTCTGTTAATATTAATGACATTTTTTTGTCATGTTATGCATAACAAAATATTCTATAAAAATAATTGAAATGCAAATTTTTTTCTCCTCCCCTGGGCAACATGATTGGTTTAGAACAGTAAAAAAGAAGAAAGCATTCTTTTAATTTGTAAGTACATGGGAAGAGAACGTTCTGAATGTGTTGAATCATTTTGTTTTACCATTTTTCGATAAAATGAGTAGTTAAAACACTCCAAAAATCAGTGTTGCTTTTTTGGGTTAAGAGCCAAATTGTACGGTTTCATTCAAGTTATCTCAACATTGTACTTCAATGCTGCTGCAAGGTCTGGAAGCCAGTAATTTTGTCTCTTGTCCTGTGTGATAAGGTCTCCATCTGAATGACAACCTGGGACATGTTTCTGACATTCAGCCATACAGGAGGATTGGGTCCATAAATGAGGCACCTGAGCTGTAGCCTCAGTGGCCACATACCTCACCCAGGAAACACAAATTACTATTGAACTGGCACAAATTAAAGTTCTTGTTTACTACTCTTTCAAAACTGAGCGTTCAAAACTATGAATGACACAACCACAAATATGTTCCCATTTCCAATTTCCAAATGGAGAGGGAAAGAAAAGGAAAATTCTTTAGAAGATACCAGAAAGAAGTTACAGATAAACAGTTTTGGGTTACCTGTATGGCTCGACTTCACTGGCTCACTGAACCACTAGTTCTTCATTATCTTTGTCATCGTTCCAAATCATTTCACTAGGCCACTATAGTGGCAACTAACACCTTCATTATTTCAGCATAACATTCTATGAACATGCCAAGCTGGCACAAGGAACAACACGAGACATTAGTGAGGCATCTCAGCACAGGCTAAACAACTCTGTTAGGAAAGAGGATGAAACTTTAGCCCACAAAGAAAACTGCACAAATGTAACACATTTATTTCTAGTGACCAACCTACACCTTTCTGAGGAACATAAACAAGTTCAAGCTCTGCCCAGCTGTGGAGACATTTTTCCAACTCTGAGCCATCACTGGGAACTTGGTAGTATTTTTTCTTGGAGCATAATCTTAAAAAAAAAAAAAAAAAAAGAAAAAAAAAAAGGAAAGAAAGAAAGAAGTGCTGGGAGAAGAAATGGTAGCATTAAGGAGTAAGGACAGGCATTTCCAAACCAGAACCATGTTTTAAAGATTTTCACATACCAGCCAAGCTGCCTACATAAAACTTTAGAAAGCACCTAGTTTCAATGTACTGAATCACATGACAGTTTTGAAATGGCTACTAATGAAAACTACACTTTTAAGTCTTTCATTTGAACTTTAGATCCACAGATGAAGAGTGTGTAAAGCTACAATAGCATCTCCAGTTTACCTGACCTAGTTTCTACAAAGTTATATTGTGAGCTTTGCTTTCATTATGAGTACATGAACGCTCACCAAAGCCGATTCCGGCAAGCTGGAATAAACGCATGAACTCCAAAGGTATTGTAGGATGCCTTCCTTCTCTATTATCCTCCTTAGTTTATATTCCCCATTATATTTAGGGTCCCCTGTTGTGCCATAAAGAACGGCGAATCCATCTTGAGCATAAATTAACGTGAAGCGATTGCAGCAGTTTCTTGCTCCCCCCATGAATCCTTTCTACAACATGCCTGTTTCAAACGCACAGTAATTGTTTTGCTGTTACCTGCTCCTAGAAGAAAGGAAGCTTGATAGCAATGAATTGAACGTGCCCTTTGCCCCCTTTCATTGTATCTACCTACAGCAGACGGCACCAAAATGCAACTCAATTAAACACAGCTCTCTTGTCACACTATAAACAGAAGCTCTCCTCACAGCAGAAGCAGGAAAGTTTTGCCATGACACTCCTTGTTGCATTTGACAAGTTTATTCAAGAGCAAATATTTCAGTGGGGAGGTCTGTCATTCTAATCCTGCTCTTTATGCGAGAGCAGCTAATGCAGTTTCAGCTACCTGAATAGAAGGGCTCTTGCTTCCAGATGTTCCATTGTGCCTTGCAGACAACAACTGCTATAGGACTGACACCAAAAGACAGGTATTATGAGTATTTTTTTCCAATCGTTAGCCCCCTCTTAGCACTGGGTTTACAGCTTCCTTGTTGATTCCTGTAATTCCAATAGGCATAGTAGAAGCCAGTGTAATGCTATCCTTCTACAGGTCAGTCACAATAGCAACAGAAAGAGGGCAATTGTCCCGAAGAGATGGTAAACTTAAGTTACTCCTCAGCTATTGAAAGACTGTTAAAAAGATGAAAAAAAGAGATTGATTCAGTGAATCAGGTCTTGAAGAAAATTATAGACTGTTTGTACTTCCAGGACACAAACCTCAAATGGCAGTGTCACAGATTTGCTGTACTTAAACTGATTGGAGATACAGCAAATCTGCAGGGGACACCAGGGCTCTGAGAAAGACAAGGAGCTGGAGTGGCCAAGCCAGTATGAATGTCACAGCCAACTGAGGAAAAGACCTGGAAAGAGGCTCTACTAACTTTTGGCAGCAGCCAAAGAAGGTAGACAGAGATATCTGTTGCCTGCCAGTTGCAGTAAGGGTAAGTAAAAGAAAATACACACAAAACCCCCTACTAACAAACTAGACATTAGCTTTTTCTGTTTTATGTGAACATTGGCTAACCAATAAGCTGGTTTGATTTCATTAATAACACACCAGTGTTCATAATCAGCATACATGCTTTCTTCATCTAGCATCTACAAGTATTAAAGAAATAAACCTTGTCATTAAACTGTTGAAGCTGTTGTTTCTTTTATTCCCACTGAAAAATAGTAGATAAATGCAAATAAAGCAATGGAGGAAGAAGAATAGTAAAAGAAGAAAGGTGTTTGAGTCTACATGTGGTAATGTTTCTAACAGATTGAGATTTGCATTTGTCTGTTTTTTGATATCAATTTACATTATTTGGCATGTTGTTTATTGTCCAATAGCAACATGTTTTCTCCCCACTACCCATGGTTTGTGATGCATAAGCAGTATTTACCTAGATATAAGACTTTTTTTTAACTGTGAGCTTCTGCTATAAAGCAAAGAGCTTTACTTCTAATTTGTAATATAACTAAAGCTGCTCCACAGGACTGCCAAGCATTTGCAATTCTCTCTAAAGTCAAGAGAGGCTGTAGGTGCTTGGTAATTTTCCATGGCTAAGGTTCCTGTGATAACACACAGGCCAGAGAGAATAAGCACTGCCCCAGAACAAGCCTACCACCCATGCCTAGATGATCGTGTTTTGACCAAAGCAACTGCGAACAAGAGACTTACTACATGTTTAGCATGTGTGACAATCCAGAATTTCATTCTACAATTACTCAGCCATATGAGCAATCATTACGTAACAACCTCACAAATATGTTTTCAAGTTGCCAGAACCTTGTGGAAAACAATCTGTTCTACTCTTTTTCTGCTTCAGAATGGAGGATGTGTTATAAAGACCGATATCAAAATCTGATCCAACTGGATCAGAAGTTGATGGTAGTTAAGCAGTGGCATCACTGCAGCTTATGCAATTCAACAGCAGCAATCTATTTCCTAAGTGCAGAGATGCATTCATACACCATGAATGGCTCACACTCAGCGAGATGGAAAGAAATGGTTGTATCTCAATGTACATAGAGATTATTATTCTCTAAGCCATTGAAAAAAATCATCTTATTTTGAAGTACTGTAAGTGATTCCCTTTTATCTGAAGGAAAAAAGTAATTGCTTCTGATTTGCTTGTTATCAAAGCATGATGATGCATCCTTTTCTTCTGTACCAATTCATGTAATAGTCATACATAGACATTCAGATATGCTACTTCTCATCCATATGCTATTTTCTTTACCTAGTATTTTCGGAAGAAAGGCTATAGCACAAAAGTGAAGTAGACAAAAATATAAAACTGTGCAGTCATGTTCAATAGCAATAGAGATGTTCTTCCAGAGACTGAAGACTTCACCCTCCCTTGCTAAACATGATAAACTAATGTGAGTGAATTAACCACCTGACCTATATTCAAATTCCTTTTCAAACCTGATTTCTCTTGCAATTTCTTCCCACGTTAATCCCGTGTTGAAGTAAGAGAAAAATCTCTGCAACCTTAGAATAGAAATTGTTATTAGATGGTGATATTGTGCTTTACCTATATGAAGTATATTGTTTTTCTAACTGCAAGACGATAGGAATGGCTTGTAATTATGGCACTGTGCTTTAACTTAGAAAGTGGGTCAAGTTTCCAGCAGACTCCTTTGTGTTATCTTTCAGAGTGGCTGGCAGACTTCTGACTGACATCCCTGAGGTTTGGCTCAGATCCTTCACAACTTTGAGGAAATGTGGATAACAGCTGCCTTCTCTGCCAGCCTGATACCCATCTCCTTTATTTAGTCAGTAATTTGGGGGGACAGATTATCAGTTACATCTCTTGGCAGCATACAGCCTCATGCTTCCCAATCTCAGTCAAGCAAGACACAAATTCCTTAGGGCTGTGTCTAGATTTTCTCCCTTTTCCACAGCACAGAGCACAACTCCTGTTATAATAAATCATTCCCTGAAATGGTAACTGACAGAGGAAAACCGCTTTGAATAGTAGCATATTCACACCAGATGCGAACGTGGGTCACCAGAAAGATGCTCAGATTCATACAGATGGAGAAGCAGTGAAGCAGAGAGCTAAAGGAAAGCACTTCTGGATGGCAGAAGCAGCAAAGGCTGTGACTTGACTCTAGGAAGGGAAACACTCCAAGGGAATGTGGGGGGAAAACCACCAAGGTTCCCATGATCTTCCTTTTTCTACACTGACATAAGCTGCTTTTGAACTGAAAGCTTGTAAGAACTGTTCCAAAACTTAGGGAAATGAGAGGGAAAATGTCAAGAAACTAAAATGGGTTTGGGATCAGACAAACAATGAAATGTTTCCTCATAATAAACAAAAAAAGACCAGATTTATAAGATCATGAAGCGACACCCAACACCTGTCAGCATTTTCCAGGGAATAACAGTACAGACATAACATAGGCTATTCAATTTTACACCAATGCACAAAGTGTGGGCTTTCAGGATACCTTCAAAATAGAGAAAAAAAGAAAGAAATAGATAGAAAAGGAAAAAGTGTTGTAGGATATAACTATAGAAAAATAATATAAGACAGAATACAAAACAGAAACAAAGGCACAGTATCTTAAAATGACAGTATCTTAAAAAGAAACCACACATGCCAGGATTTTTACTTTTAAATTATAAAGCTCAGTACGGGTTCCCCAAGTGAGAGGACAGGGTGACAGAAGTAGAGCATAACTATTTGCAAGATCAGTCTTTAGAACAAGGTACTGTAGTCAATTCAATAATGAAACACCAGCAACTCCACAGGCGATATTTTTCACTTCTATAAAGAATGTAGTTATAGGACTTTTTCATTTAGAGCACTTAAAAAAAAAAAGCAGCAGTTGCCTGCGTTACTTAGGCTCTACACATTTTCTCTCACCCACACCACCTTTCTGTTTACTCTTTTCCACACTCCCTGTTATGAAAATGTTCTATATGCACATAATTTGATGATAACTTCCTTCACTTCCTCACTGCCTTAAAATGTTCCCCTGGATAGATACAGCAATCTCATTAGGAAGCTATCTGGTTGTGCAAAGTATTTTTTTTACCCCTCTCCACTTAGAGCGTACCTACCCATGCATCCACTACCAGAGATGACAATCTGCTGAGCTGAAACAGAGTGAGCACACAGATTAAATAGCAACCACCAAATCTATCCATCCCTTTTTATGTGACAAGACTTGTTACCGACATACTTTAACCAGGCACGTTAGCTAATCCACGACTTCTCCTGGTGCCCACCTGCTATACAGCAAGGGAGTTTACTCTTCCCAAACTCACTTTCATAAACCCATTTCTGTATAAAGTATGACGAATAAAGGCCATCTGTCAAAGGGAAGAGCTGACTTTGCTAGCAAGAGATTTCACTCCCACACAGTGGGCACTGCAGCGATCCCACTGTGCTACCTGTGTCTTTGGTAGCAGATAGGAACACAGATTTTTTTTTTTTTTTTTTTTTTTTTTTTAAAAAGCATCAAATTGGTAACTTCACTGCTGAGGCAGCTGCTCCAGCCTTTCAAAAGGGAATCGCATCCAACAGTGCTTCTTCCGTACTTTGGATTCATGATCACAATAAGGAAACGTAATAGCTAGGTGGGAATTGTGAAGCACTAAAGAGGATCTCCTTGAAGAGCTGCAATATATGAGAAAGATTGGACAAGAGAAGGTACGCTTGGAAGTCACGTTGCTTTTGGAAAGTCTGTGGCAAATCACTGGAGTATTACAGCTGAAACCCCAAAGTTTCAGACTGCATTATTAATTTCTTTCCCCTGAAATTGGTAAGTAGAGGGCTCTCTCAATAGACTGAAGACCTACGTGACATATATGGCTCATGGCTTCCGAGACTACTCTGGATTCCTTTTAATATTACGATGATACTATCACTGGGAATATTTCCAAAGAAACAATTACAAATCTTCTCACAATTCTACAGTTATTAGGATGACATAGATTTTTAAGTCAGAGAAACACAATGATCATCCAGGTCCAAACTACTATATAACAAACACCAAATATTTTTCT